GTAGAGAAGGAGATAAAAGTGGGGTGGGGGGGGTGTCGGAGATACGCTACAGGTTGTTGTTCTGGGGGGAAATCAGGAAGCACACGCACCCACGCTGAACGCTTGGATCTTCGGCGTTTGGCTGTGGAAAACGTTCCTCCTAGGACATCGCCTAAACCAGACGGCGCGTAGGGTGTGGCGAAGAGAAACTTGCCCGACTGCACATGGGGGAGTACTGCTGTGTAGCTGCCCCCCTCTAACGAGATTGCCTCCCTTAATCAAGACCAAAACCCGCACGCACACACCGAGCCTTGACTTTTCTCTCACCACTCCGACCGTTCCCGCCACCTCTGCGTCGTCTTCTTCCCCGCCACCATCGCCATCCCGCGGAGACGCCCGTCCTTCCGGAACCCCCGTCGAGACCGGCGGCCCGACACCGTCGCCGCCAGCGGCCCCGCCGCTGCGGCTAAGGTTCTCAGACGAAGCCTTGAGGCTACGGGAGAGGGTGAGGCTCTCCGAGGACTTAGAAGACTGCTGTCGGCTGAGATTTTCGGACGACTTGTACCTGTGCTGGAGGCTGGGCGGAGGCGGGGGGGAGCCGCGAAGCCTCCCCCCGCCGCCGCCGGCCCCGTGGAGCAGGGACCCCGCCATTTCATCGTGCTCCCACCTTTTGTGGGAAAAGAGAAGAAACGGACGGCAACACATGGAAAGAGAGAGGGAGGGCGGGGCGGGGTGAGGTATTTCCGAATAGTTGTGCGAACGCCTGTTTCCCTTAAGATGCCAACCCCATCCGTTGAGCTCTCTTTTACGTCGCAGGGACGGGAGGTTAGGCGGGTGGGGGGGGGGGGGGGGGGGGGGGGGTACCCAAGCCGGGGTGGCGGAAACCTTTTGACCTTTGACCCCCCCCCCCCCCAAAGCGGGGGGGGGGCCCCCCGGGTTTCCCCCGGACCGGGGTTCCCATTCCCCAAGGGGGAAGCCCCGGGGGGGTTTTGGGGGGCCCCAGAAGGGGGGGCCCCCCCCCCGCCAAGGGGGTTGGGCTCTTTGGGTTTTTTTCCTTGGGGAGGGGGAAACCCCCCCAAGAATTTAATTTTTTTTTGGGGGGTTTCCCTTTTAAAAAAATTTTTAACCCCGTGTAAACCCCCCCCGGGAAACTTTACCTTTTAAACCCAAAGGGGGGGGATCTCCCCCCGTTGGCGGGGGGGGGGGTTTC